TGCCGCCCAGAGTCACTTTCATGAGATGGGCAGCTATATAAATTTGATTAATAAATAAATAAAATAAAGTGTGTATGAACAAAGCACCTCTCCTCAAAGCAGTAAAGCAACTGTATTTTTATCCAGAGTTGCACAGCTACCTCAAAAGCTTTTTCCAATTTTGCAAGCAAACTCATAGGCAGACCAACATCTCACCTGGGACCACCAGGAAAGTAACTGTATATGCAGAGATGGCCACGGACAACTTTCAGAGCTTCAATAAGAAATGTTTTCTCCAGCACACTTTGCATAGTGTTTCCACAGCCTTCATTATAAATAATAACATAATTACTATAATCAACACAATCAAAAATGATTTTCTACAACTAGAATGTGGAAGAACAGGCTGTGGCTCAACTCCAGCAAGACTGAGTGGCTCTAGGTTTTGGGGCCCCCTGGATTTGAAAATGTTTAATCTTTAACTCTTCATGGGGTAGCACCTCCCTAGAAGGAGTTGGCACACATTATGCAGGTCCTCCTGGGCTCATGACCCCTGAGTGAGGGGGATCCTTTCCAAAATCCATCTTGTGTGCCAGTTGCACCCTAGTCACTTCCCAATTAGATTACTTCAACAGGGTCTACATGGGACTACCCTTAAAAACACTCAGAAGTTTCAACTAGTCCAGAATGCAACAACATGCATAGTTCTGAATGCACCAAGGTTCTCCTGTGAAACATCACTATTGCACAAGTTGCACTGGCTCCCAGTATGCTTTCATGTGCAATTCAAGGTGCTGGCTTTAATCTTTAAAGCCCAATATGGCACAGGGCCAGGCTACTTGCGAGACTGCCTTTCTCCCATTGTTTCCACCACATCTTGTGCAGAAAGCATGCTCCAGGTCCCTTCTATTAAACAATGGCATATTGCTGGACTCTGTAGTAGTGCCTTCTCACTAGCAACACCTGCCCCATAGAACAGCATCCCCCCAGAGACTAGGATGGCCCCAACCCTATTAGGCTTTTGTAAGGCACTGAAGACCTAGCTGTTTCCCCAGGCATTTAGATTGGGCATGAGCTCTGCTATTGTTTGCTTGTTTTCTGTGAGTGGAGTTATATGCCATGGGGGTTGGAGGTTATGTGGGTTTTTAATCCTTGTATGCCACTCAGAGTCACTTGTGTGAGATTGGCTGCTATATAAATCAAATAAATAAATAAATAACTTGTGGACTGCCTGTCTCTGAGTGTATGCACCCATCCCACCAGAACAACACGGTGGACATGCTCCAGATCCCTTCTATCAAACAGTTATATTAAACAGTGAGAGTCATCTTGTAAAATTCATGAGACATGCCTTCTCTGTTGCAGCACCTGTCCTGTGGAACAGCTGCCATCTTAAGATCTGGAGTACCTAATCCTCTTGGTTTTCTGGAACATGATTCAGCCCTGGCTTTTCCCCCAAGTGTTAGGACCAGGATGCTAGATGAACCAAACACATGTGTCTTGTGTTATGAGGCACCATGGTTACTACATTATGGTTATTTTTAATTGTAACTTTAGTTTATATGATTATTGATTTTATTATACTGATTTCTTGTGGATTGGTTGTTAGCCACTCAAAGTTATTTATTTAAGATTGATGGCCATATAAATGTTCTAATAAATAAATGTTAGGTTTAATCTTTAGCATTTAAGGTAAAGCTTACTTTATTCAGAAATAATACAACCAGAAACAGGTCTTTATTTGACATCTTACAAACTCTGTAACTAGCAAGATCATAAAACATGTATCTCCAGATCTTTTAGGCATCAAGCACTGGTATTGAAGAAGGCATAATCAACATGAACTATTCTCAAGAAGAACTTGACTTCCAGTGGCAAGTTGCTTAAGGGCTTTATAAAATAAATACAAAAATCTGGCAGAGTACTGCATTGGCAACAACTGCAGTTCCTTCTACATGCAATGGCCATGGATAAAACCTACCATTCTTGTTGCTGCCTTTCTACTACCTGTAAATTCCAATCCATTCATAATAGCAGCTCCATACAATCTGTTAAAATAATCTAAATGTAAATATAGTAAATAAGCTATATTACTAATGCATAGGTTACAATGGCTAAACCAATCTTCCCCTAGCATGGGAACTCTCCATATAAATGCGCTTCAAGCCCAGGATTCTCAACAATGGCCACGATGGATGGAAATTCTAAGAGCTGAAGAGCATAAGTGGAAGAGGAGAAGATGGAGAAAATTATCCTTTATCTAGAAGAACCAGCTTTAGTTGGCAGTGGTAAAATTCCTTTGCCTGCCAAGCTAATGATGGTGACTATTCATCATGTATCCCTAAGCTAAAATAATATATATTGGACACCTAACAAACCTTCAAGGAAAAGGAAAACTATTGTGAAACAATGGCCCTTCCTAGATTGCTTCTGTGAATTGTCTAACATGCCATGGCCAATAATAACTAAAAGCTGCTGAGAGATTGCATTCTCTCCATCTATCTCCCAATAAAGGTCACAATAGTAACTGACGCTGTTTCAGTCCTCAAATCAGATTTGAACTAGACTGAAACAGCATTACAAAATCAAGATTATCTGGAGCTGAACCATTACCATTCTCTCAAGATCTTATGAACAACAGGACAATTGTCAATAGGATCCAGAGTAAGTTTTTCCTGGCAGAGCTACCTCTTTATGGTGGTCTTCAATACCCATTCATGTAACAGTGCATTCACCACTGCACCAATTCAATCTTCCCTGGCTAATATAAATCAGTCATGATGAACAAGGTCAGAGAACAGAAAATTGGCCTTATAATAAAACAGCTTCTCCCTGCCCTCAAGCCATAACAACAGAAAGCCAACCCACAAAATTGGTCCAGATATGAAATCCATCACCCAAGGCAACACAGAAGCACTTAACTTTTAAGCGCTTGAAATGCTGCCACTGGGCAAATTTAGATTTGGGCACCTTTGTTACTGGGAAGAAATTAATAGATACTTTAGTTATGCCAGACAGATACTTCATGATGCATCAAAGAAAAAAAAAGTTTTGCTACCATATTGTCTCATAATAAGCAGGATGCCTTAATATATTGTCTCATAATAAGCTAGACAGATACTTCATTATGCTTCAGAGAAAAAAAAAATTGTTACTATATTGTCTCATAATAAGCAGGATGCCTTAGTATAGGATCTCAAATTCACAGCTCTAATCATTTTCTAAGGATTCTGCCCAGCAATGTTACGGAGCTCAGTATCACAAATATGAGCAAGCTAGACCACATGAAACACTCAAACAACAAAAAACCATGATAGATTCTCCAGGGGCACTTCCAGTGTGTGCTCTGCAGCTCATGCTGAAAGCTGCTGGCCCTTCACGAGACTTTGCAGGAGGAATGCTGGGCCTGCACATAGGTTCTATCAGCACCTGGCTCGCCTGCACCCCTCACTGAAGCTGCAGGCCAGGTCTCCAAGAGCACTTCCAATGAGAGCTGTAGAGTGCACATTTCACCTCCAAGAAACCCTCACCCCTCTGCTTCCTCCAGTTCTGCTGCCACCACAAACAGTGCCTCCCTCACAGTCTCCACCTTCACGAAGCAGGAGAAAGGAGATGGCAAAGGTCAGCTAAGGTGGAAGCAGTGGTATGCAGTGGAATGCAGGGCGACCAAAAGGGCAGAGAAGGGGGGAAGATAGGTGGGTGGAGAGAGTTGAAGCAACCCTGTGGTTGTAAGTGTGGGCAGGTTGCCAAGTCACTGGATTTTGATCACGTGACTGTGGGAGTGCTACAACACTCCCAGCACTTTGAAGACCAGTCGTAACTACCATTCGTTCAGCACTACCTGTATTTCTTTATTTAACTAATCATTGGCTTCCTGTTCTGCTTGAATTCAGAGAAAAGGAAAAATACACCCAATAAATGTTTTAATGCACTGCACTGATAAAATAACATGAGACAAAAAGAGTCCAGGTACTGATAACTGGATCTAATAACAACTGAACAGTTTACATGAAATTCTCAGTGATCATAATTGAAGGAATGGAGCAAGTAAAACAAAAGAGGAAGGGGCTACATGGGCTATTATAGATTGTAAGCTATCCAAGTAATAAAAGAGAAAGGATTGAACATATTCCTCTTTGTTAAACAAAGTATTAAAAAGGAATCACTTAAAATTCATAAACTTAGCGAGTCATACTTATGAAATCATTCCTTTGATATATTTAGTGTAATTAAATTATATAACTAACAGATAATCAGAAAACAGGTTTTTATTATGAAAAACAGGTTTTTGTGTTCAATGGATTGACATATTTTGACATTAAAAAGTAAAAGTGAAACTGAGTAACATGCAAACAGTACAACAGAACGTCAACTTCCTTCTTCTTTCAATTCTGTTGTAAACTTGGAAGGATTTTTCAGAGCAGAATTTGAGTATGTGGGAGGGAAGAGAACTGTCCTCCTTTTGGTTTTGTTAAAAAACAAAATCATATTTTGGGGTTTTATCTTGAATAACTTTATCAATGTCTTTATTGCTGCAAAAATAATCTGAAAGAAAAGGCCATTATACACATTATCCTTTCTCTGGATGAACCTCTTTGTCCTGATGTTTATTCAGCTTACTGTGAATGGATACTTCATTAATGTAAACTTTGGGGGAGGAGAGCAATGTTAGTTTATGGTAGTCAGAAAATCAGGAGGAGTCTGGTAATCCCATTTCTGACTAACGAATTTTATAAAAGGTATAAGCTTTTGTCACCTGCAGCTCATTTAATCAGATGCAGAGTGGCTAATTTCATTTATGAACTCACAACCACAGCTAAGAACATAGAACAGTACTACTAATACTAGCTTTCCTGGACAAATTGAGAGCAGGCAGCCAAGTTTATGCAAAATGAAGCTATACAACAAAAACTGAGATTAGAAAATGTAGCAACAAATGAATTTTACAATAAAGGTTACCCTAACAATGCATCATCTACACAGCATAATTCAGAAGTACTACTATCTGCTATGTTGAAGAAGGGCACTTTCAAAACTTATTTTGGAAAGCAAGGATGGGTGGAGAAAAAATAGTTACCAATTAGACCTGTGCAAATTATTCAACAAGCTGCTCTGCTTATGGGTTAAAGCACCCCTCTGATTTGATTCCTTAAAGTCATGAGCAACTCAGCAGCAAATTAGGTCTAGCTGGGCTTTGGGTCTCTCCAAAGGTCTTCTATGCATATGTGCTCATAAGACATTGGGAGGGCTTTGAAGCCTCACAGCTCTGAAGAACAGATCCAGAGACATGTTTCATTTGCGAACAATGTGCCTCACTGAATTGATTGCACAGATTTATTACCTATTCTGGCTGTCCAACCTACATTTAAAGTTCTACTTCATCCCTATATAGGGATTCAGAATGACAAACAGATGTGCCAGATATAATTTATTCCCCAGAACATATAAGAATGCAATACTCCACAGAGCCAGTATTACCTTCATTCTTTTTTCATGTCTCAGTCCTGTTGGAAAAGTGTTGGCCAGGGAAAACAATTAGCTATACAAACCAAGTTCAATACACGTAAGAGATTCTTTACCTAAAAGTTATTAGGCGAGCTGTTTATGTGGAAAAGATCACACAGATACTTGTTTCTTTATGGTGAACAGGCTCTTTGGATTAAAGCACAGCCCTAACAGATTACTTGCTGTTTTCTGATGAACAAGATGATATATATAAAAAAAAAGATTTTGCTTGAATATGTCACATTATGTATTGGCTTGAGCATTCTATAATAGAACTTACAAATTATCATCTTCCAAATGTAAAAAGTATATGATTAACAAGTTGTACAGACCATAAGACACTATTCTTAATAAAACTAAGATTAAAACTTTCTTTCTTATTGATTTCAATATCTCTGGATAAGCAGCAAGGTTCAAAGGGAATTTTTTAAAAAAGGCAGTAGAGACTTGACCAAATTTGAAAAAATTATAATGCAAAACACAGAATATCTGTTAGGGCTTAATTACACGTTGTTATTGAAATAAAACTCAGCAACTGAACAAGTTTGATTAAATGGATACAGAATTTAAACAGAACAATTGATATACAACAATGGGAATATCAATGGAAGATAATGGAAGATAAAAATTAAATTTACCAGGAAACTGTACAAGCCATTTTACTGCTGGTATATTTCCCTAATATAGTTTGCCAAAATACAAAACTTGTTTTTAAGAACCTTTGGAAATCACAATGGATCAATATTTCATAACTGGTGGCAACGTAGTAAAACTCAATCATTCTAAAAGATTGTTTATTACAAAATGAAATAAATTTTAAAGGTTGAATCTTCTTTCTGCTGTTTTTCTATTAAGCATCACGAAACCTTATATCCCTATATAATATACCAAACGGCTTTCTGTATAATAACAGCTGCCATACACTTTATGCCTTTCATTGGAAAATACACATAATTCCCTCTTCAGAATAACGACAAACTATGTTGTAGAAGAAAATAATCTCATATTTGAAAAACAAGCTTGATACAGAATTTATTTCAACTTGGAAACCATTTTTGGACTATAATTCTATATATGGATTTGTACTGCATTCAAAGTTTTGGTTTCTCTTAATTTAAGGCTTTAGCATATGCGTTTTTTCTTGATTTCTTAAAGAAAGGTAGTACTTTTAGATTAGATAGAAATTTCCATTAATTGTCCATTCAGATTTACATATCATATTATACTGGTCACTTTTGTTAATTATTGAATATTGCCTTTTTATAGTGGTTCTGAAGTCTTAAACTGATTCAAAAAGCTTTAATACTAAGCACTAAACTAACATTACTTTGAAATTTTTATAATTTTTATTCAGTTTTATACAGCTTGGAAAAAAAAATATTTTTTTTTTACTCTTTTGCTGCTTTTCCTCTTGGTTGCATTTTAAATATCTACTAAAATAAATAATTAAAATTAAAGTTACAGATACAGAAGTTATTTTATTTTCACGAATCTCTCATTTATAAAGGACTTCACCCAACAGAAAAATTGATGCAAAATAGTAAAACGGATAAGATTTTTCAAGCATCTAATTCCAATAAAATGGAAAATCAGGCATTTAAGATCCTCAGTTTCTAGTACAATGGAAACTTCTGTAACTTCTAAATATACTTAAGAGCAAAATGACATAATATACTATTAGTTAACTGTGCAGCACTGAATATATTAATGTCAAATTCAGAATTAGCTTTCAGTTGCAGTATATGAATCTTTTTTTGTCACCGGGGATTCATTTCTTCTATTGACTAGCTCTACCACTTCTGTTTTTCTCCCTTCCTGTATTACTTGGTCAATATGTGTTGCTATTCAGTACCCAGAGAAGCAAGTATACATGACTTGCTCACATTTGATAAATTACTTTTAAAGAAAAACAGTCAGTTCCACTCTACATAACAGCTTTAGACATCCTAACAAGTTCTTCTAAGCACATGATATCCATATGGATTCAAGAGGTATACGATACACAATAACAAAACAAACAATTGGAAAAAAAGTTCAAATTTCATGAAAATAATCACATGCAGAGCTAGCAAAGTATTTTAATTTTTAGGCTGCATCATTAATCAACTTCAATGAAATATAATTTTAAACAATGTTCACTTGTTGCAGGAGAACAATTTTAAAGTGGAGGAATATGAACACAGACATAACCAAATAAATGCCAGCATCATCGGCAGCAGCAGCAGCAGCATCATAAAAAATGTGAGTTATAACCAACGGTATTTCTATCATTGCTGAAAGAGACATTTAAGAAGATTCTTAAGACTTGGGCTTTGGTCTATCTAAAGAAAGGGTTATTGTCAACATTATTCAATTTTGTATGCATATTATAATAGTATGATCAAGGATGTTAACATAAACTTCATTTATTTACATAGTTCATTTGAAGAAAATTCCAACTGTAATCCATTTTGGTGCTGATTTGAATTAAATTTACTTAAAGTGCCATTATTAATTTTCATTTTAACTTCAATCAAATTAGTAATAGAAGATTTTTTTTAATTGATATATGGAGATCAGCAGAATTATTTAAGAATGAGCAACAGTAATATAAACAAAAATGTTTTTCTTTAGTATCTTTCTAATATTCCATCTGAAAACTCTCAATGAAAATATTTTAATACTCATTTTCAATTCATCTGTTTATTATTATACAAGCTTTATTGCAAATTTGGTGATTTCTTAATACAGCAAATGAGCACAGCACTTCTTCAAAGACCAAAGAAATTAATAGGGTAATATAACCTTGCCTAATAGTGATACCAGTATCCATATTACCATCTCAGTTTACCCTGATATCTGATAGCAAATATGCTTCCACTCCTGGCAAATAGAAGGGGTAGAAATGGAAGCAGTAACAGACTTCATTTATTTGGGCTCCAAGATCAACGCAGATGGAGACTGCAGCCATGAAATTAAAAGACGCTTGCTCCTTGGGAGGAAAGCTATGGCAAACCTATTAAAAAGCAGAGACATCACCTTGCCGACAACGATCCACATAATCAAAGTTATGGTTTTTCCAGTAGTAATGTA